TAGGGGTTGATGATGAATCATTTAGAGGTTATTTGGGAATGAATAAACATAGAAAAAGATTTGTGAGTTCCAGGATTCCATATCACAAAGCTGATGTCACATTCTATTTTTTCTAGCCATAAAAGTGAAATAATTTTGATACAGAATCCAGTTGTATGACTCTTACGTTGCTGGAGAGCCAAGGGTAAGATGGAAGGAACAAAGGCAAGCGTGGAATCTAACTAGTCAGACAGTCATATGGTGTTTAGAAGGCAACAGAACAAATGGATACAGAAATGTGCAAGCAAGGATTAGGATCTAACAATTTGATGTGCAAATAAGAGAATAGAGGCTGGTCAAGCAGGCTAGATCCATACAACGTTTTTGGATTCTGTATAAGACAGGATTTTAAATCTGGCCTTGCTTTAATGAGCATTCTTGGTGTTGGTGTACTTGGTAGATCCAAGACTCCACACATTTGGGGTTATTGATGGTATCGCTGACAAACTCTAGGTGGTTTGATGGTTCTAATAGCTTCACACTCCACTGGATACACATACTCACAGATCTGCTCACCACTGCTGCAGAGTTCATTTCCCAGAAATGAACTGGCTAGTAAAAAATTTGGCAGGCAAGTCAGCTTTTCAAGTACTGCTAGGAATAGAGCCCAGCTGTTCCCTTTGGGCTTTGAGCTGTTGGAATTCATTGTGTTAGCAGCTAGAAAGAATCAAACTGTAGCATTTTTAGCCTAGTTCATGACAGCAAAGCAGAGGTGTTAAGATTTCTGTTTTAGAGGTTTATACTGCAAGTAACTTAACCTGATTGTGTGTCTTAATATTACTGGGCTTCTGACCGCTGAAATATGGCTTGGATCGATGGTGGTTTGGAGAAAGTAGAGAGAGGGCTATCCATCATTCAGAGGCTCCATAGAAGCTGGCTGATAATGCTGCTTTCACCAAGCAGCCATCTGTCCATCCATCCATCAGTAGGATGAAATGAGATTTAGCGGAACAGGCAGCCGTAACTCTGAGACACTTTCTAACCAACAATTGTAGCTCTGGCTTGAGTCTGACCACAAACCACAGCACTGGGGTTTGGCGGGATGTGGCAATAAGGGTAGTCTCCTTCCCGTCACTGCCAGCCTACAGTATTCAGTATAAGGCCCTAGTCCAGCCTTCCTTCCCATACAAAATTTGGCTAAACTTGGGATTATGATACAGTCATTCTCTTTGAGCTCCAGACAATTTTGCAAGTTAAACAAATGTCTTTCATGGAGAATATTTTTGCTCAGCGCTATAGGTACTTTTTGCATATTCATCATAATAATGAGTGATGAGATTAAATTTAAATAATTTAATTATTTAATTTCATACAAGTTCCTTTTTCTTACTAAATTAAAAAATTACCCAAATTCTTAAGTAGTGAAAATTGAATTTTCATTTTTATTTCTCCCTACATTAGTGGTTCTTATATGAAAGGGAGAAAATATGGACAGGGAAATGGGTAACCAATTATAAGCAAGAAACAGGATGATACCTAAATGGATAATGAGGTTCTGATAAGTGAAATCAACTGTGTCTTCCTAGTTACTCTGTTTCCAGCGTACCACGCCTTCTGAAAGAGCCTCTTGATCAGTGTATGGCACTTTGTGTGCTTGTTGCCCAGCCTGCTGCCTTTCCTAGTCACAGCCATCTTCCTTGACCATATTATTGCAGTGGTCACTTGAGGCCTCAGCTCCTGTTCTTTGTTCTGAAGCCGTGGTTCTCACTTCAGTTTGAGGGAGGGGTTGAGGGGACCTAATGTACCGGAGATGCCTCGGAAATGAGAGCCTTGGATGAATTCCTGGGCTTATTGATCCACCGGCAGTTTATGCATCCTGACATTCATAATCTCAGTAGGCTGCTGATGCTCCTGATTAATGGGCCCAGGGGCTGTCCATCCGTCACTTCACATTAATTACTGAAGAGGTGTTTTTCCAGTGATTTACCTGACAGTGGGCTGTGATAAATACCCCTAAGCAGAGTGGGCAGTGATTAATCACAGGACCACACCCCTCCCCCCACTCCTTTCCCCCTAACCACAGGCCAGCATTGGGACCTGACCAAAGAGTGCCCCCTCCCCATAAGCTATCTATCTCCATAATTGCTTGTGGATGCATATTTATTGGGCATAAGACCTGGCAGATAGCATTTTAGAATTTGTGCCAAAGATGATGAAAAATAAATCTTATTGGTAGGAAGAGCATGTTTTTACATGGGGAAGGTAAGTGTATGTGAGCTGCTCTTATGTTACCTTAAAATTTTGAGGGAGCATTGGCTACCTACTATGTATGTATCTGCATGCATACATGCATGCATACATAAATGCATACATACATACATAGGGAAGAGGACAAAGTGGGCTGGCTAATTAGATGGCTTAGCAGGTAAGGGCAGTTGTCACTCAAGTGTGGTGGCCAGAGTTCAATCCCTAGAACCCATATAAAGAAGGAGGGAGTGCCGGGCGTTGGTGGCGCACGCCTTTAATCCCAGCACTCGGGAGGCAGAGCCAGGCGGATCTCTGTGAGTTCGAGGCCAGCCTGGGCTACCAAGTGAGCTCCAGGAAAGGCGCAAAGCTACACAAAGAAACCCTGTCTCGAAAAAACCAAAAAAAAAAAAAAAAAGAAGGAGGGAGAGAAGTGATTTCACAGGGTTGTTCTCTGACCTCTACGTGTACACTGTTGCATGTATGCCTATACAACACATCATGCATGCACACATACGCAAACACATAAATTAAAAAAACAGCCTAGCTTTTGCATTTCTGATGCTTGTGGTTTATTCAGAAACAATATATGAACAAATATACTGTAGGAGTTATTTTAGGTACAATACAATTTGACTGGAGTAGAACTCCAGGGTTCCATTTCTTACCTTATGGCTATAGAAAAGGAAATTAGTTAAGTACTGAAATGATTTAGTGTATTCCATGTGCCAGGCCCTATTTTCAGCTGTGGAAGATGAGTGTAATACAGCTGCAGATTTCACAGAGCACAGTCTAATGCTCCTCGTCTCATTTTCTAAAAATATAAAAGCAAACTTTTCCAGGAAGTTGTTAAAGTAATTTAAAGTTAACTTGTACATTCATTCTTTTTCTCCGAGTGTTTATTTAGTTCTGTGTTCACAGATTTACAAAGGAACATGTTAGGGACAATATCTACCTTCAAGAAAGTTACAGCTTATTTGCTTGCTTTTTTAAAAATACGTATGCGTATGTTGTGTCAAGGGGTTTCAGATCCCCTACAGCTGAACTAGAGACAGTTG